TACTGAAGACAAGCTGACATTTCTCCTTCCTAAGAAAAGTGAGAATCAGCAGAAGATTCTCATTCACTACACTTTACAGAAACCTACAAAAAAGTACAATAGAGCAATTAAATAGAGGGTACAGAAAAACAGACTCGCTATGTATGTGACATCATCAGAACTGATGATGATTGGGACCAGAAGCCTGGGGTGGAAAAACATTTCTGGATGTCTTCTTTGCCTGTTTATGTTAGAAGTAGAAAAAAATAGTCAGCAATATAATAAAATCAGCTTATGATGGCATTGACTATGAAGCTGTGTTAAGCCTGGACTTAAGGGAGACAAACTACCTTAAACTACCATCCATGATCTGAACACGCTGATCCTTGCAGGGTGGTGAGGGCGGCTGGTGGTGCCCATCTCCAGTAGTCATCAGATGAGAGGCAGGGTTCACCCTGGAAAGGTCACCAGTCCATCACTGGGCCTTGAAAGCTAACAAAAAATAATATGGATAAAAGAGACATGGTAGATTAACAAGGGGAAAAAATTCTGTCCAATTATTTTCAAATTAAATCATGTTTATTAAGCACTTAGTGTTAGTTACACACCAGTTTTTGCTGTGGTTAAAAATGTGGCAAACTGCTCAGTAAAAAAAAAAGAAAAAGAAAGCCTTCCACCATGAAGACAATGTGGAGGTTCATCCTCAGAACAGGTTGTTGTTCTGGTGAATCAGAGCTTCTTCTGAGACAGGAAAGTCTTTAGGTTTTCTAATACCTGAACCCTGGCTTCCTCTTTCATCTTACCCCGTGTGTATTTAAACCCACCTGTTGTCTTTGTCTCTGGTCGGATCCTCGTCGTGTTAAGTCGTGTGTTCCTCGTGTTGCTGTTCCCCATCCATGGATATTCATCATTAAATTCATCATTTTCATCTACATCCTGGGTCTGCCTGCGTCCTCGTTCTCACCACCACAACCATAAATCATGACAGTAGGATCCGACCAGAGTAACGGTGAGAAACGCAAGATGCGGACCCAGTTTAGACAGTAGGATCCGACCA